ACAAAGTCTTGCCAGTTTGTGACTCTGACTGGCATGAAGTGTTTTGTTGCAGCTGCAGAAGGTACATGACTTGATATTACTGTCAGCTGCTGGGTGATGTCATAGATAATGTGAGGTAGCTGATTATTGCAGATGCTTTTGTCTATGTTATAGTATTGAATTTTCTAAAAAATCAAATGTTGCTCGATGTATTATTATGGATTAAGCCACTTGGCAGTACATGAAGTAGTTAAAATTAGGCCTACCTTTACCAATATGCCAATAATACCAATAATAATTGGTACTGAGTACTATTACTTTTGGTGCTTTGTAAGTAATAAATACAAATATTTTGATGGTTATACTTATGTTCCATATGTTCTTTAATAAAGTTTTGAATATTGGACCTTTATTTGTAACAGAGTATTTCTACACTGATAATGATACTTTTACTTAAGTCAAAGATCTGAGTACCTCTTCCACCACTGGCTATGCCAACACATCGACCGACAAATTGGCTAATACTGTCATATAGCCAATATACTGGTATCACTGTATAGGTCAGCCAATTTATCATATGGAACTGCAGCCAAAGATGAAATATATGTTTTTGGAAACAGTGTTACTCTTACATAGTTGGTATCACTATCTGCAAAATTTCACTATTGGAGCATTATGGAGGCCTGGGGATATAAGACATGTACCATATAAACTGTCCCTAGTATACATGTGGCCCACAAGCTTTGTTTCCATCCTCCCCTCCAACCACACATTAAAGGCAAAAAATACCCCAAGAGTAATCTAAAAGTAAATAATTAAAAAAAAACAGCTGACAAACGAACAATAAGATTCACAAAATAAATTGGGCATTTCCTGAACTTTGAATGGTTATGAAAAGTAATCCTGCACACCTTTTTACACTGAAGTTAATATGTTATTAGATTTCTCTCAGATCACATACTTTTAAATTACAGTATTTATCTCAGGTATCCTAAAGCATAAAGACATTACTGACTGGCCGGTTTGATGAAGATTAGGTTACGTGGAGTCCAAATTACCAGTCATTGCCATTTGGTTTTGTCCAGAGTACCTGTGATGCACTGGGTACAATGTGTTCCTGTGGTTTTTCTCCATCTCCCTGCAGTGTTAGACTCTCTTGCAGTAACTGAGTTGATGTCAATGAGTAGTTTCCTCATGGAGGGGCAAGGTGGCTGCTTTTGGCATTCAGATAGAGGGAAAGGTGATGAGGTGGGAGTTAATATTTGCAGGCTGTGGGAATGTGTTTGGAGTCAGCAGTGAATATTCCTCAGTTCTATATTAGTAGGTCACAGCGTTGCCTCTTACCTCGCCTAACGGTCTCTTCACTAGGTCTCACATTTGATCTTTATTGCCATGTTCCTACAATTTAATACTCACCATCACCCCTTAGGCTCTTTAGGTGTTGCACAGACATCTTACGAGCACCAGGAGTTGTGGGTTGGGTAAAAAGTGAGAGACAGTGACAATTCTAGCACAGTGCTCTTTCCTGCTGGTCGTGTGTCCTCTTCAGTACATCACTCATCTATGATTTATGAAGCAGCCTCCTGAGGAATGCTTCTTTTATGTTATCAGGCTTTGTCTATCCATACCTTCTCATGTGTCTGATGTGTTAAATGTAAGGACAGGAGGTTAGCTTAGTTTGTCATAAAAACTGGAAACAAAGGGAAACAGCTAACCTGGCTCTTTTCAAAGGTGACAACTTATCATCACCTCTAAAACTCACCTTATAATGCTTTATATCTCCTTTGCTTAATCATCAAAAAAGTGTAAATGTATCATTGAATGAGTGTTTAGACATGCTAAGCTAACAGTTCCTAGCAGTAGCTTCATAGTTACAGAAAAGAAATGTAGAGAAACAAGAAGTATGATCTTCTTATCTAGGTGAATATCCTAAAATATCAAACTCTTGCTTTAACCAATTAAGTCAAAAACAATTTTGACAATCAGTTAATTATTACTCAAGGAAATATGACAAATATTTATTTTTCAACTTTGCAAATTTGATATTTTGCTCTTTTTCTGTGACAAATCTTTAGACAAAACAAATAATTTGATGATGCTCTGTGATTCTCGTTAATCTTCACTTCACTATTATTTGTATAGCTTTTATTAGTTACTGGGAAAAGAATAAAGTCATTCAATAAAAATTAAATAATCAATAGTTGTAGCCTTAAAAATATATATACATTGATAGAATAAGTGGTCTAAAGTGTCACTACGCCCTCTCTGGCAACATATTGATGGCATTCACAAGGCTCTTGATTATGCTTTGATGCATCAGAGGTGTCAGCTGCCCACATCACATGACAACACCCTCAAGTGTGCCAGCTATCTGGTGCCAGACAGAGAGGAGGAGAGGTGGGTATGGTGTGAAGAAGCAGGGGAAAAGAGAGATGAAGGCATAAAACAACAGGCTGTCTCATAAGGAGAGACAAGAGGGTGAAACAGCCAGGGAAGGAGGAAGAAAGAGTTAGATGCTCAGGTAGTGGAACGATAAGATAAAAGGAAAGTGAATGTTGGGAGGGGAAGAAATCGTTTGTGTTTACCTGTTCAGTGAATCATTAAAAAAATCAATCTCAGTTGCTCCTAAGCAATCAAATTATGGCAAGTTTCAACTGCTGAAGTGAAGCGCTGTCCATACAGTACTCATTATACATCATTATATAAAATATCAGAGCAAAAAAAACTTTTACAAGTCAAAAATACAGAAGTCAGAAGTAAAACCTGCCATTGCTGGCTGCTAGTCAGCATGGGTCATCAGGGTCACATCTGTAAGATGAAAGGAATGGTTGTGGTTGGTTGCTTCCACAGAGGGATGGAAAGGTCGGGAAGTGGCCCCAGCACAAACACCAGAGGCATTGTTCAAGTTCAAGGTAACAGTGAATGGGGTTTTCATTCAGTTTGCTTGGCCCTTTGTCCTCAGACAAATTCTCTGATAGGTCCTCTGATAATTTCCCACTTTTAACAGGGTCATAATTAGATAAAAATGCTGTCTTTGACAACATCTGACACTGGTGTTGTGCTGTTATATTTGCAAACTAATTATGTCAGTTCTATGGTGCGGATCAGCATTGCTGGCTGTTTGGTTTAAAAGAATTAGCAGCAAGGTATCTTTTAAAATGTTGTGTGAGTTTGTGTGTCTGTGTATGTGCTCACAGATGGCCTGCGCTCAGGTGTGTCCACTCTCTGTCCTTTCAGACAATGAACAAGGTCACAGTCAGAGGGTCAGGTTTCAGGGCAGCGTTTCCCTTCCTCGACCTCCAGCAGCCTCCCTCCCTTCCTCCCTCTCTGTTGTGTCTGTACAGCCATCAGCTCTCATTAACTCCTCACTGGGGATTTCCTGTTCGCCTCTTTCGCTTGCCTGTTCCTGTTCCAAAATGAAACGTCACATTATCTCTTTTTACAAAACATGAATAATTAAATCCTTAAATTGTGCTGAATATGCAAACTAACTCGCTGAAAGGTGTAACTACATGCTAGCAATACAAAACAGCATAGAACACAACTAAATCAGCTACAATGCCAAACCTTTGCAAAGTCTGTGTCTGTAATTGATGACTTTGTGCTCTCAGTGTGTACAGTACAACACACACATATACATATACACACAAGCATAGGCACATAATTCAGAGTCTGACTCACTCCCTTTAACAGAGTCAATAACAATACAGGAATGATTAATCAGGACCTCCGTGGGCCCTCCTTCTCTGCTCACCACCTTCCACTCTCTGTTCTCAGCCCCACTCACCCTCTCTCAGCTTAGTATTGATCTGAATGCATTTGCTTCCCATTTATCTATTAAGCCCCCTCCCTCATCACGTATACACTGCCACTGCATCGAGCAGTCACAAAGAACCTTTCACACAGGAGCATCTCCCATGCACGCGAACAGCACAGATTCTCAAGCACATGCATGTGCAGCAACCACTGCTGTATGTATGCCATCTGATACTCTGATAGGTACTACACTTAACTGTACTGCCCTGAGGGCTTTGGCTTGATTATTCTGCTGTGCAAATTAGAAAGGTCCTTTCCATAGTGCAGTTGCATTCTGTGTGTATTTATGTTTGTATGTTGGGCACACATTAGCCTAAACACAAAGCAGCATTCTTACAGGTTTAACGGACAGCTTATTTGACTCCCCTGCTTTCCCCCTTGCAATTCTGGTTGGTGGCACACAGGTTGCCATGACACCAGACTGTTTTGTCTGCCCTTTGACCTCTCTTAGGGGGTGCTGTGGTCAATCAGGCATTACATGTGAGGGGTAAATAGAAGGGAGGAGAGGGAGGAGGGATGTATTTCCTCTCTAAAAATGAGGTCCAAAAGGTTTTTCTATACATCTGCTTTGTATGGAGTAGAAGGTGGGGAGCCTCCGAGAGGCTCACAGTGAAACAAAGACACATGTGCACATACAGGCATGGCAGCACTCTGCAGGGGTAAATGAACTAGGCTGGAGATCCCAGGGGGCGGTGAGTTATTATGTTCATTGTGCAGTCGGCCAGCTAAAGCTGTTTGGCTGCTTCTTTTGAAGTTATATTTATCAAACCGGAGCAGGAGGCTTAGCACTCCAAGCTGGTGCATCTCTTTGTCCACAATGAAGAACGCATGTTTGCTTTGAGGCAGCACTTGAGAAGCAAAGCAAAGTTAAATGAAGGTGATTATAATTTAATTTATTTGCAGAGTGAAAAGCCTTTTACACTGTTAGTCCTTCTGTTCTGTATATCAGAATTATACCAAAAGTTAGACACTCATTCATCTCTCATGTTAATTTATGTAATGATAATTGACAGTTGCAATGCAGTTTAAAGATTAAAATACAGCAGCTCACAAGTAAGTCTGTAACTTCTCATGGTTTTGTCCAGTGACACTTCAGCTATTGCAGAGTCTGAACTCATTACCTCTTGGCAAAACAGTCTCTGTATTCATGAGGTCAGTTTGTCTCCCTCTAACCTCTGTATGTGTGTGTGTGTGTGTGTGGCCTTCGCTTCCTGTCTGAGGAGCACCTGGTGATGAGTGAGTAATATTTTTATATTATACGTACATATCTACCTGTTCATATTATGCACTGTGTGTGTGAACAGTGAATGCATTTTCAGTGGATCTATTTGTTAAACACGTGTGCCAGCATATTGTTAACATGGGCTCACACATATTTCCACACCAGTAAGTTAGGTCGAACAGACATAAACACATGCACAGAATCCATTTTATCAAATCTGTTATTTAACAGTTTTTACGCTATTTAAAAACCCTAACAGCTATAGGGTTTACACAATATACACAATATTGCTTTTCTTCTTGCAGGTAACAGTTTATTAATATTTTCCCTGTTATACACAAACACTGGCAGATGATTTAATAACAATTTTGGCAAACGATATGTCAGAATGTCATAAAGGAAAAATTTTACTCATGACTGTGATCAGCTATTTGGGGTATTAGTCACACTTACTGACATTTCTTTTTGTGTCTCATATTCACTGTCACACTTTAGTGCAAAAAAAATAAGCTGAGAGAATCTCAAGACATTAGCGCTGCAGGGCAAGGCTTTTCAACTGTGTCTCAGGGACCACCATTCAGACTAAGCAGTAACTTGAGGACCACTGTTGTGTGGCAGATGAATCGGACGGGCGCTATTTTAATCCTGAAAGTCACCTTGGCTTTTGTAAATGTTATATATTTGCATGAATTTGAATATTCACAAATAATAAGTAATACATGGAAATGTGTTTAAAAAAAATCAAATTAAAAAGATTCCTTTTGTGAAACTACATTGTCAAATCAGTTAGGGGCCACCTGCAATGCCTTCACGGACCACCAAGGGGTCGCAGACTGCTGGTTGACAACTGTTGTAGGGCTCATGCTCAAAACCTCCCTTCAAAATGTAATTTGCAAACAAACTAAACAAAAATATTTAATTATTTTTTTCTGTTGTCCACATATGAATTAGGATTTCACTGTGCCATGACAGTCAGGTCCTTTTGCATTTTGTACATCTGTGAAGAAGTTCATTTACAATACATCAGGACTGTCCTTACTCATAAAATGCATTCATTGTCTCTGTATGCAATCACACATGCAGGCACTCACATCTATTTCATTTGTTGTTTTTCATTTTCTGGAGACTTAACCTGCGTAACCAGCCCTTATCCTAAACTTAACCTAACTCCAAACCAGGTTGTAAACCTAAAATTCAACAATTTACATGGTAGAGAGACCGAGTCCCCACAGTGTTAGTCTGTAAACAGGTTTCAGTTCCCACAACGTAATACCAAACACATACACAAATACAGTTGCATACATTCATTGGCTATTTTAAGGCTATGCACAAAATAGACTGATAACTTTAAGGAGCAAAAGGCTTTTTATCTAAAGTGGATTTTTTGTTCTTGGTCAGAAATGATCTCATAAGGTAATTAAAAGTTCTAAATTCACATTTATCCAAACATTCTATAATAGCTGCACACAGTGAGGTAAATATAGTATAATGATCTAGCCACTGCAGTGCTCCAGCTGACCACATGCTGTAGAAAGCTAAAGTCTCAAAGTAATTTATGACCCGTCGAAAATAAGATTTGATACAAAATACAAAAACATGTTTCAAGGTAGCAGTTGCTTCTGTGCTGCTTTGTTTGCCAAAACAATAACCATTTTTTTTTACCACACCCCAACCACCATCTCACACACACACACACCCACACACTCCTCCGCTGCTTTTAAAGCCAGTTGTTTCATTTCTAAGCGTAGTTTTGTTCACCACGCATCTGATTGGAAACTTTGAAAGGGAGGAGCTATGCAAGGCCAGACACCCACCAATCCCAGCCTAAGGAGATTGATAACTGTGCCATAGCAACAGTTTGGCTAGTTGCCAGGCTGTTTGGGTTGCCAGGCAAAAGGTTCCCATGGCAACATTCATTTGCCATCTTGGTATATGAGGATGGCGTCAACCAAAGCAGATTAGTGTAGGATAGAGTATTTCTCTCACCTGGGAGAAGAACATACACGTTTCAGCAGATCGTAGTGTTCCTCTCTTATGTTACTTACATTGCAACAATACCACGATGTTGCTCTCAGTCAGAGATGTTGGGTGCATTACTCCAATGCTAGGAAGTAGCAAATTTCCTATATTCATATTTAGTATTTACACTGGGCTTTCTGGCTTTGGCACATGAAAATATTGTGGTGCTGAACATTCAAATCTGAATATTTTCCATCTGTCATTTTTCCCAGAGTTATATTACGTGCAATCACTGCTTTGAAAGTGAAATTGCCTAGATGTGCTGACTGTAACCATTAAGTGATATATCCCAGTGTGTGTCACTGTATGTGGGTAATGACCAACTATGAGAAGAATTTTGAACTTGAAGTGAGGCCACCCCATTTATGAAACACCTCAGACATTTTTCATAGTGGAGTAGTCTTTCACTGCCTGCTTAAGGGTGGAGTGAGCAAGAGGGAGAGGGAGAGAGAAGGATAGCTGACATTGGCACAATTACACTGCATTTCTGCGTGATTTGACTGTAAAAATATTGCAGACATGAGGTACAAAGCAGAGGAGGTTGTGGGTGTGAAAAAAGGCCAGCCAGGGTGTGTGTGGACAGAAAGGGCAGGAAGGGGGTATGAAGACAGAGGGTGGTTAAAAGGGTAAGAGGCGGGAAAAGGGGGCCCATGAGGGCTAAAGCAGAGAAAAGGTTGAGTGAGTGAAAGGGGGGGGGCAGGGGCTGCACTTTGGGACAGGAGAGTGAAAGGGAGTGGCAGAAAGTAGAGGATTAGGACTCTAAACACATACCAACAAGAAGAAAGGACATAAATTCACTTGGCAACATTTTTGCAGCGTGTTTTTAGACGGGCTATCTAGTTTCTTCCTTTCTATGTCTCTCTGTTCTCACAGCCATTGTGAATCCACAGCTGCACAGTTCAACACGAGGCCTGCAGAAAGATAGGTGCGGTCAATGATTATTTTCTTTAGTGTAATACTTCCAGAGCAAATGCAGTGCTGCTTGCAGAGCTCCCACATATTGCCCTCTTTTGTCACTGTTGCAGCCTCAGGGGATGTTTTAACTTCACATTTTGAAAACAGTTGCGATTCTGAAATCAGCTTTATGTCAGTAGGATTTGTTAATATATTTTGGTTTGCAGCAGCAGCTCTTTAAATGGCATTTTCACAGCACATCATCTTGCCCTAGTTACGTCTGAATCTGTGCTCCGAGTAATGTAATGCTCCAGCACTGTAGCTGCTGGAATGTACCGCTGTGCCAGGAAACATGGTACTGTAGCATGCAACAATTACAACTTCTACGCTGGGCATCCACAGATCTGAAATAAGGTTTTAGTTAAAAAATCAGTTTATTCACTTTGTTTGATGTGATGAAAACACCATATAAACTGTGGAGCAGTCACCCAGTTTAGATATGGAAGTTGACAGCAGACTTGATCATGATGACAGTCTTACAGCAGATGGCATTTAACTACCATGAAAACCTCTTAGCTTTAAGTAGAACCAGACAGCTGATTTGGATGAAATGCTGCAGTGAGTAAATGTTTGAAATCCAAAACACTATGGTTTAATAATGAGTTGGACACAATAATAGGTGGTGATTGTTTTTTTGTTTAAGATGGAAGAGAAATATATGAATTTTAGCCATTGCTTTACTGAGTGGAGGTTTGATGGGAGAACAGATTGGGCACTTGTAACAACCTGTATATAACAATGCTAGGACAGCCGAACCCTGATGATTCATAAGCAGCATTTTGTCAGTGATGATGCTCTGTTGCAGAATCAGGTGGTGTGGAAAGAGCAGGGCAGATAAGTAGGATAGAGAAGTGAGAGGGAGTTTACACAGTCACCAGTAGAGGGCAACAATTGCAAAGAAATGTGTGGAAATACTTTGAATGGTCATAGGAAACAAAGCCATTGTAGTATTCACACCTGCATAGATGTGTGGAAGTGGATTTTCATGGGTCTGTTCCAACACTGGCAAACTTCAGAGCAGCAGTGTTGCTCTGACATGCTGTACCACCCAGAGCTATGCACTCCTACAGTACATTCGATGATGTCAGCCTCATCCTTCTGCTAGACTCCTGTTTATAAGTCATTTATCTGACTGATACTGTTGCTGCCTCCATATGCACATGCTCTGTGTTGCTTTCTACCAGGATGTGGTGCTGCCTTTTACCTGAGCTCCTCCACTGTGGCTACTAGGCACTTCCATTCCTGCAGCATCATTGCCTTAGCCCTAACTCGTAGATCACCCATCCAGTTCAATCACAACTGCAGATTCATTCCCCATTGTATGTTATAGAGTGGTAAACTGCATCTCTTCAGACAAAACCCATCACTGTCTTCCTGCTATTAATAAAAAAAAGTCCAGTTTATCAAGGGCAGCCATATGCACAGATAAGCATGTACCACAAACTGAGCTCAGTGCAAAAAAGCAATACTTTGTTTTGTCAGAGTATTAAAATATATTTCCTCAAATCTCAAAATCACAGGAAAAAAACAGCATGAAATCATCCTTTACCACAACCGAGCACTCACAGAAAAGAAAATCAAAGGGGTAAATCCCTTTTGAGTCTGTACATCCAACACTCACTAAAAAATGTAGTGGGAAAGATGTTAACTATTTGAGTGTATTGCTACCAGCTAGACTAAAATAAGCAATGAAGTAAGGCAGACAGAAGCCAGGCACCTGTGTCAATTCTGCGTCAACTTCTGTATAAATAACATTCGACTTGCGTCCTGCTGGTGAAGATCTTCTCTGGAGCGCATCTCTACAGTCTGTGCTCTGCGGTGTGAGGTAGTTGGTTGTATGGTTTCGCATAATAAACAGCCTGGAGATAACTGTACAACCTTCTAGCTTTCCCTGCGGAGTCACCTTTTGCCTCGTCTAACCTACCACCACCCCACCCAGCAGAGAGGTAAGTGTGCTGTTATACTTTGGCACAGGATCTAGTGGTTAATAACATGATTTGTCCTTTTCAACTGCGACACTCTGTTGAGAAACTTTCCCCTT